CCAGTAATGGAGCATATTGTATCGAATCAGAGCTCTTCCATATACCACCAATACCGATAGTAACAGGCCCATGAGCGCATTGCTATAGTAACATGCTTCTGAACTGCTTGCATTCACTGTAAAATACCACGATGCGCCTTTATTCCGTCTCCGTAGGAAGCAGCGCCTTGGCGAGAATGGGAAGCGCATTTGGCGCGAATGTAACGCCTGCGCGAATGATATCCTTGAAGCAGAGGCGAATTCCGCGGCCCGGGCTCCTACAGAAAGCCAATATCCTGAATAATTGCTGCTTTCTGAAAGCACCTTTCTCGTCTCAGCCTTCTTTCTCAGCCGTCATTCGCACTCAGCTTCTTTGAGACCACCGCAATGGCAATACGACTTTCGAGAAAAGAGAGGAACAGTCGTAAGAGAGGGGACCGTCTGCCGCAGCTCGCGATCACCATCCGCGCTACAAGCAGCCTCGTTATCGAAACAGGCAGGGCCATCTAGCTCTGTTGACTCCTCCGCTGCTCGCCTGACGAAGCTCGCTGATTGGCTGGCTGGTTTGGGGCATGATCCGTTGGGGATTCGCCTAGAGATTGCTGACGTGGATGCCTCGTCAGCAGCAGGCTTGTCTACAGTGCACAGGATTGGAGCAGTGGCAGGACCCGATGGGGTGAAGCAAGGGGATGTGACAGTAGCTGTGCCACATGCTGCAATCATGCTGTGCCACTCATGCCAGGTTTTGACCGTGCCTCTCGTGTGAGCGAGGAGGGGTGGCTAAGGTGCGACTAAGTAAAGTATGTCTTCTGTGGGAGGGATATAGCGGGAGAGATAGTGACCCCTGTGTCCAAAATGTTGCACCTCCCTTCCCTCATGCTGATCTGACTGTGGAGTGGTGGCTAAGGTGTAACTCTGGTAACTAACTCTGGTAACTAACTCTGGTAACTAACTCTGGTAACTCTTGTAACTCTGTTGGCTCAGGTGTGACTAAGTTCCCTGTGTGAGTTTAGACTATGTATGAGTTTCCTGTGTAAGTCGTCCTCTCTCCTTCCACTCCCCCAACCTGCTATTGTCATTCCGCCCCATCATCAGGAAGGGCTCTGCTATTGGCTGCAGGGCTTCCCGCTGCTCCAAACCATCCAATCACGCGGCGACATGTGCAGGTGCGGTGCCTGTTCCCTTGTTCGCCCAATCACAGCAGCAATTAATCAATGCTAGCGTTGTGTGTGTGTGGGATGATTTTGCCTTGCGTACTCGACTCAAACGGCACGCTTCTCCCATCCCACCCACCCACCCACCCACCCACCCACCATGAATGATGCTGCTGCAGCAGCATTAGCAGCAGCATTAGGCAGCAACCTTTTCCTGCTCCTCGCTCTCCAACACACTGTTCAGGCCACGTTGCTTTATCTTTGGAAAATACCCTTGGAAAACTGACTTGGAAATCACCTTAACACAGTACCACCTTCCTGCAAACTCACCCTGCCTGTTTCTGTTGAACTCTTTTACCTCGTTCGTGTCTCTCAGCACCTCTGTTTCTCATCCTTGCCATGCCACCCACCAGGGCTGATGCTGCAGCCTTGGTAGCAGCAGGAGCAAACAAATTACTCCTGCCATCAGAGCGACAGCAGCAGCAGGAGTTGGTATCAGAGCGGTCAGAGCAGCAGCGACAGGAGTTGGTATCAGAGCGGTCAGAGCAGCAGCGACAGGAGTTGGTATCAGAGCGGTCAGAGCAGCAGCGACAGGAGTTGGTATCAGAGCGGTCAGAGCAGCAGCGACAGGAGTTGGTATCAGAGCGGTCAGAGCAGCAGCGACAGGAGTTGGTATCAGAGCGGTCAGAGCAGCAGCGACAGGAGTTGGTATCAGAGCGGTCAGAGCAGCAGCGACAGGAGTTGGTATCAGAGCGGTCGGTGCGGTGGGCTGCTAGTGTGCTTCTCAGCAGAGCCTTCGCCCTCGACCTCTCACTGGACCCTGTTAAGGTGCGTTGGTTGCTAGGTGTGTGCACGTCTGCTGTTTCCACCTTCCACCCTCTTCTCCTCCCATTCTCATCCCGCGCCCTCGAATTTCGTTTCTCTCTCACTTCTCACTTTCCTCTTGTCTCTCGTGTTCCTTTCTTCCAGCCATTCCCAGGCGATGACATCAGCACACCAGGCTTCAACCTCTGCTTCGCCCCTGGACTGATTGCCTCAACCACAGAAGCAACCGCTCTCTGCCAACTGACATCCCTCTTTACCTCTTTCTTCTTTCCTCCTCTTTACATTTTCCCTCCTTCCTTTGCCCCACCCAGCCATTCCCAGGTGATGACATATCAACACCAGGCCTCACCCTCTGCCTCGTCCCCTGGGCCGACTGCCTCAACCACACCAGCACAGCCACAGCCCTCGCCTGCCTAACCTACGACCCAGACTCCCGGACCGCCAGGCTCGGCGCACACCGAGCCTATGCGCCAGGCTCAGAGGTGTTTGACTCGTACGGCCCGTGGCTGAGCCCCAGGCAGCTGTATTTGGACCATGGGTTTGTGGATGAAGTGGTGTTTCAAGGGCTCGTGTCTTGTAACGAGTCAGCTCTTAATGAAGCATCTCTCAGGCAGCTGTATTTGGACCATGCGTCTGTGGGTGAGGTGGTGCTTGAAGGGCTCGTGTCTTGTAACGAGACGAATTTTGAAGAAGCATCTCTTAGTGAAGAGAAGGAGGACGGAGAGGAGAAAGAAGTGGGGAGGAAGACGGTGATGAAGGGGAAGGGGAGGAGGAGGACGAGGAGGTGTGGGAGGGGGGTGGGATGGAGGAAGCGGAGCAGAGCGGGTGGATGGTGTTAACAGCACACATCGACCACGTAATTGAGATGCCTGTAAGCCCCCCCCCCCCCCCCCCCCCCCCCCCCCACCACATGATTGACACGCCAGCAGGCCACCCCATCCATGTAGCGTAATGTAGCTTGTTTTTCAAACGGTTTTCGAGGCCTTTTGAAGCTTGCATGTCTTCCCTTTGGTGAGGGAGGCCCCATTTTTTATCATGCCTATCCTTCCTTCCCCCCTCATGTTTCTCGAGCCATCCCCCCATCAGGCGAGCACCTTGGGCCGTTTCAACAGCACTCTCAACACCTCATTGCTGGAAGCAGCAGTTCTTCCCTTTGGTGAGGGAGACCCCATGGCAATCGATGCCTCTCCTTCCTCCTCCCCTCATGTCTCCCCCCTCACCTCCTCATCAGGCGAGCACCTTGGGGAGCTTTGACAGCTCTCTCAACACCTCCCTGCTGGAGGCAGCAGGCCTTCCCATCAGTGAGTGACCCTCTGTTGTTATGCGGCTATCACACAATCGCTCCCTTCATCATCCATGCTCCCTTCATCATTCATGCTCCCTTCATCATTCATGCTCCCTTCATCATTCATGCTCCCTTCATCATCCATGCTCCCTTCATCATCCATGCTCCCTTCATCATCCATGCTCCCTTCATCATTCATGCTCCCTTCATCATTCATGCTCCCTTCATCATTCATGCTCCCTTCATCATTCATGCTCCCTTCATCATTCATGCTCCCTTCATCATTCATGCTCCCTTCATCATTCATGCTCCCTTCATCATCCATGCTCCCTTCATCATTCATGCTCCCTTCATCATTCATGCTCCCTTCATCATTCATGCTCCCTTCATCATTCATGCTCCCTTCATCATCCATGCTCCCTTCATCATCCATGCTCCCTTCATCATTCATGCTCCCTTCATCATTCATGCTCCCTTCATCATCCATGCTCCCTTCATCATTCATGCTCCCTTCATCATTCATGCTCCCTTCATCATTCATGCTCCCTTCATCATCCATGCTCCCTTCATCATCCATGCTCCCTTCATCATCCATGCTCCCTTCATCATTCATGCTCCCTTCATCATTCATGCTCCCTTCATCATTCATGCTCCCTTCATCATTCATGCTCCCTTCATCATTCATGCTCCCTTCATCATTCATGCTCCCTTCATCATCCATGCTCCCTTCATCATTCATGCTCCCTTCATCATTCATGCTCCCTTCATCATTCATGCTCCCTTCATCATTCATGCTCCCTTCATCATCCATGCTCCCTTCATCATCCATGCTCCCTTCATCATTCATGCTCCCTTCATCATTCATGCTCCCTTCATCATTCATGCTCCCTTCATCATTCATGCTCCCTTCATCATTCATGCTCCCTTCATCATTCATGCTCCCTTCATCATTCATGCTCCCTTCATCATCCATGCTCCCTTCATCATCCATGCTCCCTTCATCATCCATGCTCCCTTCATCATTCATGCTCCCTTCATCATTCATGCTCCCTTCATCATTCATGCTCCCTTCATCATTCATGCTCCCTTCATCATTCATGCTCCCTTCATCATTCATGCTCCCTTCATCATTCATGCTCCCTTCATCATCCATGCTCCCTTCATCATTCATGCTCCCTTCATCATTCATGCTCCCTTCATCATTCATGCTCCCTTCATCATTCATGCTCCCTTCATCATCCATGCTCCCTTCATCATCCATGCTCCCTTCATCATTCATGCTCCCTTCATCATTCATGCTCCCTTCATCATCCATGCTCCCTTCATCATCCATGCTCCCTTCATCATTCATGCTCCCTTCATCATTCATGCTCCCTTCATCATCCATGCTCCCTTCATCATCCATGCTCCCTTCATCATTCATGCTCCCTTCATCATTCATGCTCCCTTCATCATCCATGCTCCCTTCATCATTCATGCTCCCTTCATCATTCATGCTCCCTTCATCATTCATGCTCCCTTCATCATTCATGCTCCCTTCATCATTCATGCTCCCTTCATCATTCATGCTCCCTTCATCATCCATGCTCCCTTCATCATTCATGCTCCCTTCATCATTCATGCTCCCTTCATCATTCATGCTCCCTTCATCATCCATGCTCCCTTCATCATCCATGCTCCCTTCATCATCCATGCTCCCTTCATCATCCATGCTCCCTTCATCATCCATGCTCCCTTCATCATTCATGCTCCCTTCATCATCCATGCTCCCTGCTCCCTTCATCATTCATGCTCCCTTCATCATTCATGCTCCCTTCATCATTCATGCTCCCTTCATCATTCATGCTCCCTTCATCATCCATGCTCCCTTCATCATTCATGCTCCCTTCATCATCCATGCTCCCTTCATCATTCATGCTCCCTTCATCATCCATGCTCCCTTCATCATCCATGCTCCCTTCATCATTCATGCTCCCTTCATCATTCATGCTCCCTTCATCATTCATGCTCCCTTCATCATCCATGCTCCCTTCATCATCCATGCTCCCTTCATCATCCATGCTCCCTTCATCATCCATGCTCCCTTCATCATTCATGCTCCCTTCATCATCCATGCTCCCTTCATCATCCATGCTCCCTTCATCATCCATGCTCCCTTCATCATCCATGCTCCCTTCATCATTCATGCTCCCTTCATCATTCATGCTCCCTTCATCATCCATGCTCCCTTCATCATTCATGCTCCCTTCATCATTCATGCTCCCTTCATCATTCATGCTCCCTTCATCATTCATGCTCCCTTCATCATTCATGCTCCCTTCATCATCCATGCTCCCTTCATCATCCATGCTCCCTTCATCATTCATGCTCCCTTCATCATTCATGCTCCCTTCATCATCCATGCTCCCTTCATCATCCATGCTCCCTTCATCATCCATGCTCCCTTCATCATTCATGCTCCCTTCATCATTCATGCTCCCTTCATCATCCATGCTCCCTTCATCATTCATGCTCCCTTCATCATTCATGCTCCCTTCATCATTCATGCTCCCTTCATCATTCATGCTCCCTTCATCATTCATGCTCCCTTCATCATTCATGCTCCCTTCATCATCCATGCTCCCTTCATCATTCATGCTCCCTTCATCATCCATGCTCCCTTCATCATCCATGCTCCCTTCATCATTCATGCTCCCTTCATCATTCATGCTCCCTTCATCATTCATGCTCCCTTCATCATTCATGCTCCCTTCATCATTCATGCTCCCTTCATCATTCATGCTCCCTTCATCATTCATGCTCCCTTCATCATTCATGCTCCCTTCATCATTCATGCTCCCTTCATCATTCATGCTCCCTTCATCATCCATGCTCCCTTCATCATCCATGCTCCCTTCATCATCCATGCTCCCTTCATCATCCATGCTCCCTTCATCATTCATGCTCCCTTCATCATTCATGCTCCCTTCATCATTCATGCTCCCTTCATCATTCATGCTCCCTTCATCATTCATGCTCCCTTCATCATTCATGCTCCCTTCATCATTCATGCTCCCTTCATCATTCATGCTCCCTTCATCATTCATGCTCCCTTCATCATCCATGCTCCCTTCATCATCCATGCTCCCTTCATCATCCATGCTCCCTTCATCATTCATGCTCCCTTCATCATTCATGCTCCCTTCATCATTCATGCTCCCTTCATCATTCATGCTCCCTTCATCATTCATGCTCCCTTCATCATTCATGCTCCCTTCATCATTCATGCTCCCTTCATCATTCATGCTCCCTTCATCATTCATGCTCCCTTCATCATTCATGCTCCCTTCATCATCCATGCTCCCTTCATCATCCATGCTCCCTTCATCATCCATGCTCCCTTCATCATTCATGCTCCCTTCATCATTCATGCTCCCTTCATCATCCATGCTCCCTTCATCATTCATGCTCCCTTCATCATTCATGCTCCCTTCATCATTCATGCTCCCTTCATCATTCATGCTCCCTTCATCATTCATGCTCCCTTCATCATTCATGCTCCCTTCATCATCCATGCTCCCTTCATCATTCATGCTCCCTTCATCATTCATGCTCCCTTCATCATTCATGCTCCCTTCATCATCCATGCTCCCTTCATCATCCATGCTCCCTTCATCATCCATGCTCCCTTCATCATTCATGCTCCCTTCATCATTCATGCTCCCTTCATCATCCATGCTCCCTTCATCATTCATGCTCCCTTCATCATTCATGCTCCCTTCATCATTCATGCTCCCTTCATCATTCATGCTCCCTTCATCATCCATGCTCCCTTCATCATTCATGCTCCCTTCATCATCCATGCTCCCTTCATCATTCATGCTCCCTTCATCATCCATGCTCCCTTCATCATCCATGCTCCCTTCATCATTCATGCTCCCTTCATCATTCATGCTCCCTTCATCATTCATGCTCCCTTCATCATTCATGCTCCCTTCATCATCCATGCTCCCTTCATCATCCATGCTCCCTTCATCATCCATGCTCCCTTCATCATTCATGCTCCCTTCATCATTCATGCTCCCTTCATCATCCATGCTCCCTTCATCATCCATGCTCCCTTCATCATCCATGCTCCCTTCATCATTCATGCTCCCTTCATCATTCATGCTCCCTTCATCATCCATGCTCCCTTCATCATTCATGCTCCCTTCATCATTCATGCTCCCTTCATCATTCATGCTCCCTTCATCATTCATGCTCCCTTCATCATTCATGCTCCCTTCATCATTCATGCTCCCTTCATCATCCATGCTCCCTTCATCATCCATGCTCCCTTCATCATTCATGCTCCCTTCATCATTCATGCTCCCTTCATCATTCATGCTCCCTTCATCATCCATGCTCCCTTCATCATCCATGCTCCCTTCATCATCCATGCTCCCTTCATCATTCATGCTCCCTTCATCATTCATGCTCCCTTCATCATCCATGCTCCCTTCATCATTCATGCTCCCTTCATCATTCATGCTCCCTTCATCATTCATGCTCCCTTCATCATTCATGCTCCCTTCATCATTCATGCTCCCTTCATCATCCATGCTCCCTTCATCATCCATGCTCCCTTCATCATCCATGCTCCCTTCATCATCCATGCTCCCTTCATCATCCATGCTCCCTTCATCATTCATGCTCCCTTCATCATTCATGCTCCCTTCATCATTCATGCTCCCTTCATCATTCATGCTCCCTTCATCATTCATGCTCCCTTCATCATCCATGCTCCCTTCATCATTCATGCTCCCTTCATCATTCATGCTCCCTTCATCATTCATGCTCCCTTCATCATTCATGCTCCCTTCATCATTCATGCTCCCTTCATCATCCATGCTCCCTTCATCATCCATGCTCCCTTCATCATTCATGCTCCCTTCATCATTCATGCTCCCTTCATCATCCATGCTCCCTTCATCATTCATGCTCCCTTCATCATTCATGCTCCCTTCATCATTCATGCTCCCTTCATCATCCATGCTCCCTTCATCATCCATGCTCCCTTCATCATTCATGCTCCCTTCATCATCCATGCTCCCTTCATCATCCATGCTCCCTTCATCATTCATGCTCCCTTCATCATTCATGCTCCCTTCATCATTCATGCTCCCTTCATCATTCATGCTCCCTTCATCATTCATGCTCCCTTCATCATCCATGCTCCCTTCATCATTCATGCTCCCTTCATCATTCATGCTCCCTTCATCATTCATGCTCCCTTCATCATCCATGCTCCCTTCATCATCCATGCTCCCTTCATCATCCATGCTCCCTTCATCATTCATGCTCCCTTCATCATTCATGCTCCCTTCATCATCCATGCTCCCTTCATCATTCCCCCTTCATCATTCATGCTCCCTTCATCATTCATGCTCCCTTCATCATTCATGCTCCCTTCATCATTCATGCTCCCTTCATCATTCATGCTCCCTTCATCATTCATGCTCCCTTCATCATCCATGCTCCCTTCATCATTCATGCTCCCTTCATCATCCATGCTCCCTTCATCATCCATGCTCCCTTCATCATTCATGCTCCCTTCATCATTCATGCTCCCTTCATCATTCATGCTCCCTTCATCATTCATGCTCCCTTCATCATCCATGCTCCCTTCATCATTCATGCTCCCTTCATCATCCATGCTCCCTTCATCATCCATGCTCCCTTCATCATCCATGCTCCCTTCATCATTCATGCTCCCTTCATCATTCATGCTCCCTTCATCATCCATGCTCCCTTCATCATTCATGCTCCCTTCATCATTCATGCTCCCTTCATCATTCATGCTCCCTTCATCATTCATGCTCCCTTCATCATTCATGCTCCCTTCATCATTCATGCTCCCTTCATCATTCATGCTCCCTTCATCATTCATGCTCCCTTCATCATCCATGCTCCCTTCATCATCCATGCTCCCTTCATCATCCATGCTCCCTTCATCATTCATGCTCCCTTCATCATCCATGCTCCCTTCATCATCCATGCTCCCTTCATCATTCATGCTCCCTTCATCATTCATGCTCCCTTCATCATTCATGCTCCCTTCATCATCCATGCTCCCTTCATCATCCATGCTCCCTTCATCATCCATGCTCCCTTCATCATTCATGCTCCCTTCATCATTCATGCTCCCTTCATCATCCATGCTCCCTTCATCATTCATGCTCCCTTCATCATTCATGCTCCCTTCATCATTCATGCTCCCTTCATCATTCATGCTCCCTTCATCATTCATGCTCCCTTCATCATTCATGCTCCCTTCATCATCCATGCTCCCTTCATCATTCATGCTCCCTTCATCATCCATGCTCCCTTCATCATCCATGCTCCCTTCATCATTCATGCTCCCTTCATCATTCATGCTCCCTTCATCATTCATGCTCCCTTCATCATTCATGCTCCCTTCATCATTCATGCTCCCTTCATCATTCATGCTCCCTTCATCATTCATGCTCCCTTCATCATCCATGCTCCCTTCATCATTCATGCTCCCTTCATCATTCATGCTCCCTTCATCATTCATGCTCCCTTCATCATTCATGCTCCCTTCATCATCCATGCTCCCTTCATCATTCATGCTCCCTTCATCATCCATGCTCCCTTCATCATCCATGCTCCCTTCATCATTCATGCTCCCTTCATCATTCATGCTCCCTTCATCATTCATGCTCCCTTCATCATTCATGCTCCCTTCATCATTCATGCTCCCTTCATCATTCATGCTCCCTTCATCATTCATGCTCCCTTCATCATCCATGCTCCCTTCATCATTCATGCTCCCTTCATCATTCATGCTCCCTTCATCATTCATGCTCCCTTCATCATTCATGCTCCCTTCATCATCCATGCTCCCTTCATCATTCATGCTCCCTTCATCATCCATGCTCCCTTCATCATTCATGCTCCCTTCATCATTCATGCTCCCTTCATCATTCATGCTCCCTTCATCATCCATGCTCCCTTCATCATTCATGCTCCCTTCATCATTCATGCTCCCTTCATCATTCATGCTCCCTTCATCATTCATGCTCCCTTCATCATCCATGCTCCCTTCATCATCCATGCTCCCTTCATCATCCATGCTCCCTTCATCATTCATGCTCCCTTCATCATTCATGCTCCCTTCATCATTCATGCTCCCTTCATCATTCATGCTCCCTTCATCATTCATGCTCCCTTCATCATTCATGCTCCCTTCATCATTCATGCTCCCTTCATCATTCATGCTCCCTTCATCATTCATGCTCCCTTCATCATTCATGCTCCCTTCATCATTCATGCTCCCTTCATCATTCATGCTCCCTTCATCATCCATGCTCCCTTCATCATCCATGCTCCCTTCATCATTCATGCTCCCTTCATCATTCATGCTCCCTTCATCATTCATGCTCCCTTCATCATTCATGCTCCCTTCATCATTCATGCTCCCTTCATCATTCATGCTCCCTTCATCATCCATGCTCCCTTCATCATCCATGCTCCCTTCATCATTCATGCTCCCTTCATCATTCATGCTCCCTTCATCATTCATGCTCCCTTCATCATTCATGCTCCCTTCATCATTCATGCTCCCTTCATCATTCATGCTCCCTTCATCATTCATGCTCCCTTCATCATTCATGCTCCCTTCATCATCCATGCTCCCTTCATCATTCATGCTCCCTTCATCATTCATGCTCCCTTCATCATCCATGCTCCCTTCATCATCCATGCTCCCTTCATCATCCATGCTCCCTTCATCATCCATGCTCCCTTCATCATCCATGCTCCCTTCATCATTCATGCTCCCTTCATCATTCATGCTCCCTTCATCATTCATGCTCCCTTCATCATTCATGCTCCCTTCATCATTCATGCTCCCTTCATCATTCATGCTCCCTTCATCATTCATGCTCCCTTCATCATTCATGCTCCCTTCATCATCCATGCTCCCTTCATCATTCATGCTCCCTTCATCATCCATGCTCCCTTCATCATCCATGCTCCCTTCATCATCCATGCTCCCTTCATCATTCATGCTCCCTTCATCATCCATGCTCCCTTCATCATCCATGCTCCCTTCATCATTCATGCTCCCTTCATCATTCATGCTCCCTTCATCATCCATGCTCCCTTCATCATTCATGCTCCCTTCATCATTCATGCTCCCTTCATCATTCATGCTCCCTTCATCATTCATGCTCCCTTCATCATTCATGCTCCCTTCATCATTCATGCTCCCTTCATCATCCATGCTCCCTTCATCATCCATGCTCCCTTCATCATCCATGCTCCCTTCATCATTCATGCTCCCTTCATCATTCATGCTCCCTTCATCATTCATGCTCCCTTCATCATTCATGCTCCCTTCATCATTCATGCTCCCTTCATCATTCATGCTCCCTTCATCATTCATGCTCCCTTCATCATCCATGCTCCCTTCATCATTCATGCTCCCTTCATCATTCATGCTCCCTTCATCATTCATGCTCCCTTCATCATTCATGCTCCCTTCATCATTCATGCTCCCTTCATCATTCATGCTCCCTTCATCATTCATGCTCCCTTCATCATTCATGCTCCCTTCATCATCCATGCTCCCTTCATCATCCATGCTCCCTTCATCATCCATGCTCCCTTCATCATCCATGCTCCCTTCATCATTCATGCTCCCTTCATCATTCATGCTCCCTTCATCATCCATGCTCCCTTCATCATCCATGCTCCCTTCATCATCCATGCTCCCTTCATCATTCATGCTCCCTTCATCATTCATGCTCCCTTCATCATTCATGCTCCCTTCATCATTCATGCTCCCTTCATCATTCATGCTCCCTTCATCATTCATGCTCCCTTCATCATTCATGCTCCCTTCATCATCCATGCTCCCTTCATCATTCATGCTCCCTTCATCATTCATGCTCCCTTCATCATTCATGCTCCCTTCATCATTCATGCTCCCTTCATCATCCATGCTCCCTTCATCATCCATGCTCCCTTCATCATCCATGCTCCCTTCATCATTCATGCTCCCTTCATCATCCATGCTCCCTTCATCATTCATGCTCCCTTCATCATTCATGCTCCCTTCATCATTCATGCTCCCTTCATCATCCATGCTCCCTTCATCATCCATGCTCCCTTCATCATCCATGCTCCCTTCATCATTCATGCTCCCTTCATCATTCATGCTCCCTTCATCATCCATGCTCCCTTCATCATTCATGCTCCCTTCATCATTCATGCTCCCTTCATCATTCATGCTCCCTTCATCATTCATGCTCCCTTCATCATTCATGCTCCCTTCATCATCCATGCTCCCTTCATCATTCATGCTCCCTTCATCATTCATGCTCCCTTCATCATTCATGCTCCCTTCATCATCCATGCTCCCTTCATCATCCATGCTCCCTTCATCATCCATGCTCCCTTCATCATTCATGCTCCCTTCATCATTCATGCTCCCTTCATCATCCATGCTCCCTTCATCATTCATGCTCCCTTCATCATTCATGCTCCCTTCATCATTCATGCTCCCTTCATCATTCATGCTCCCTTCATCATTCATGCTCCCTTCATCATTCATGCTCCCTTCATCATTCATGCTCCCTTCATCATCCATGCTCCCTTCATCATCCATGCTCCCTTCATCATCCATGCTCCCTTCATCATTCATGCTCCCTTCATCATTCATGCTCCCTTCATCATTCATGCTCCCTTCATCATTCATGCTCCCTTCATCATCCATGCTCCCTTCATCATTCATGCTCCCTTCATCATCCATGCTCCCTTCATCATCCATGCTCCCTTCATCATTCATGCTCCCTTCATCATTCATGCTCCCTTCATCATTCATGCTCCCTTCATCATTCATGCTCCCTTCATCATTCATGCTCCCTTCATCATTCATGCTCCCTTCATCATTCATGCTCCCTTCATCATCCATGCTCCCTTCATCATTCATGCTCCCTTCATCATTCATGCTCCCTTCATCATTCATGCTCCCTTCATCATTCATGCTCCCTTCATCATCCATGCTCCCTTCATCATCCATGCTCCCTTCATCATTCATGCTCCCTTCATCATCCATGCTCCCTTCATCATTCATGCTCCCTTCATCATTCATGCTCCCTTCATCATTCATGCTCCCTTCATCATTCATGCTCCCTTCATCATCCATGCTCCCTTCATCATCCATGCTCCCTTCATCATCCATGCTCCCTTCATCATTCATGCTCCCTTCATCATTCATGCTCCCTTCATCATCCATGCTCCCTTCATCATTCATGCTCCCTTCATCATCCATGCTCCCTTCATCATTCATGCTCCCTTCATCATTCAT